AATAGAATAGAATAGAATAGAATAGAATAGAATAGAATAGAATAGAACAGACTTCTTTATTGGCCAAGTGTGATTGGACACACAAGGGATTTGTCTTGGTGCAAATGCTCTCAGTGTACATAAAAGAAAAGATACATTCGTCAAGAGTCAAGAATCATCAGGTACAATAGTCATAGGGTACAGTAAGCAATCAAATCATACTAGGAAACAGTCAATATAAATCGTAAGGATACAAGTGACAAAGTTACGGTCATACAGTCACAAGTAGGAGGGGATGGGTGAAAGGAAGGAGGATTAATAGTAATAGTAGTGCAACCTTAGTAAATAGTTGGACAGTGTTGAGGGAATTGTTTGTTTAGCAGAGTGATGGTGTTTGGGGAAAAACTGTTCTTGTGTCTAGTTGTTCTGGTGTGCAGGGCTCTCCTAGAATAGGAAAGTTTGAAGGTTGCGCCAATTTCCCCTACTCAGAAAAGAAAGTCCATGTTTTGTGTTCCATCCATATATTTCTTAAAACTGGACTTTCACTATTTCACCAGTGTATCTGTAATCATCATAATTTTTTTTAAAAGCCTGTCTTTATACTGGTGATCTTGTGTATCTGTGGGTCCGTGTAAAAAAAACAACGATCCAACATTTCAACAGTTCGGCAATCCTGGATGACAGCAGGCATAAAGAACAGGACCCATGGTGAGAGGCGAGAGCCTTCCCTGCCACAGCACCCAGTGTCCAATCAGAGCAGAGGCATTTGCCTATCATATAATGAAGCCCTGCAAGCCACACACAGCCACATTTGTGCCAGTAGAAGTCAGGAAATGCTATTTTGGATGCAGAGCAAGAAGAAATGGGCAGAGGCTACGGTGGGCTGGGGTAGATCGCAGACAATGTATGTGTTCCTTTCCTTAAGACATGGACACTGAACTGGCCTTCTGTCAGTCAGTCAGATGTGTGAGTCCAACCTTAAAAAGTTGGCCTTGACTTGACTTCATCCATACGAATCATTTAGGTCAAAGTTTTCAGCGACCAACTGTACATTATTATTTGCAAATGAAATGGTGAAGTGCACTTTTATCAATGCCTGTATTTCTCCCTCTCTTCCTTTCCCATTCCCCCATCAACTCCTCTCTAACCTCTTGTAGAATATTATGGGATGGAATCTGGATTTGACTCAGAAATCTATAAACGTGAGTAGAAGTTTACGATCCTTTATAATGGTAGTCTTGGATTTAGCAGACCATGCATATACATAGTGCGATTCTTTGGTTGGTCCATTTTAAAGATGGCTTCAGAATGAACCAGAGGTGAAAAGAAAGCAAGACTTGGATTGCAACGATAACAAAAATAAAATTTGTTCCTGCAACACACTTAACATGGTTACTGAATTAACCCCTTAATAAGGATTTGTACAGTATGTGAAAACATGGACTAACTAAGCAGGCGGAGCTTATGTAGTGATTTAATTTCAAAACAACTAAGATTAAAAATAACCAGTCTGACTGCGCTGTGTGATTGCAGCTGTTAGATATTTGCTTGACCTGATTAAGGATGTTGTACAGACTGCAGCCTGTAGGAGCATCAGTAGGAGGTGCCAAAATCTGCCAGATGGAGGGTCTGGAGTTGTGATCAAAGCTCAACCCTTTTTCTACATGGTTGCAGCATTGTTACATACATACAAAGGGGGGAAGGGCTTCTGTGCAGCCATCCTCCTGCAGATTTAAGACTCTTGGAATCTTCATGGAATAGAAGAAAAAGGGAAATCCTCCTCCAGAGAAATCTTAGACTTGTAAGTCTTTAACTTACAATCATAACGGAGTCTGGAATTGTAGTTAGTCATAGCAGTTGTTAAGTGGGCCTTATTTTACTGTCTTTTTTGCAGTAAGCATTAAGCAAAGTCATTAAATGAACCCATTATACTCAATGGGAGTTTTTTTGCCAGAAACTGGCCAAAAATGCCAAAAATCAAGGAGATGTGGGATGTTGTGTTCTCTTGTACAGCCATAAATGTGGGCCAGTAGCCCAGTGCCAAAAATGCAATCAAGCGATCACAAGGGAGCAACCATTGCAACTTTGAAACCGGGTCATAAGCAGCTCGTAAGAGGTCTGTTGTAACTTGGAACAGTCATTAAGCGAGGACTGTCTGTACTTCCGGTTAGTAAAAGCTGGGAAGAAAGACCAAGAAGTCATTGAGGGCACCCAATAGTGATGATGGGGAATGAGCAGCTATAATGCACATCAAAGCATATCCTATGTAGACACCTGAAAAGATACATTTTTGGTAAGTGGTAACTGGGACCTCTTTTCTTCTGCTCTCTCTCACGCACACATGGTGGTCTCTGCATTAAGATTGGCACAGCTGAACACCAGCTTCAAACACTGTGAAAAGAATGGGGCAGAAATGTCCCAAGTCAGAAGAGGCCTTTCCTTCTTTGTTGGCCATCAATGTTCAACCTTCTTCCTAACCTAACATCTGTTTGCTTCTTAGAGAGACTCAGAGGCATAGAAGCTGACTTTGCCAGCACCTTGAAGCCCATCTTTGCTAGAGAGAAGGAACCGTTCACCCTCTTATGCACTTTCACTTCAGATCTTCAGGAATACCAACGAAACATTTCCTGGTTCCGTGATGGTTTGTATATGTAGCCGCAATGCTGCATGAGAAAGCGTCAAAATATGCTGCATCAGGTTTAGCAGCCTTTTGTTCCCCATCTTTGGATGCCAATTGTATGAGGGTGCTTTTACAGAACAAAACACTCTTTACTTGGCTACTGAATTGACTCATTTCAGTAGTTTGCATAATACAATGAGCCTGCACCTAACCCAACAGTTTTCACATCTTCATAAAGTTATCAAAGAGATCTATCCCACCTTCCCAAATAATCAAAATCTCATGCAAAGAGTACTGAAATTTTGTGAGGTTTCCAGATGATTTCCAGAATCCTTTATGAGATTTTTTTTTCCAGACATTTTGGCCATCTCATTTCAATTTGTAAGACTTCAGAAAATTGTAAACATTTTTAGGGAGGCAGGGAGGCATGTCACATGGAGGTCTAAAAGGACATCTTAATCTTACCTTGTTGTTTTGAAAAGTCTATATATCCTTGATGATCTGTCTTTAGTTTTTATACGTCATAATGAAGAAGAACAGCCCAAGATGTCTCACAAATAGTTTCAGTTGTATGTTTAAGGAGATTTCTCACCAGGGTGGGGAAATTTCTTTGATTTCACCCTAGGCTATCCAATAAAATCTAAACTGGAGAACAAAGAATTTCTTCTTATCACAATTTTAATGTGTTCATGATTTTAATTGCCATATTATCTAAGTTCCAGGTTCCAACATTTTCATTTATTATGTGAATTAGAATTTTAAATGGGAAGGAGGATCACTTTTAATGAATAAAAGTGCCCTTAGCTCAAGTCAAGTTTATTTGTACTCCTAGTGACTGCATCCATACAAAATTTTCGGTACCAGTTTGGAACTAGTTTGCCATTGATTTCTGCCAGAATGAATTTTGTCTTTCCAATCTAACCAACATGACTGGTATATCCAGAAGATTGGCCATCTATAGACTAACCAAGGGTGATCTTTGTAGCTTCTGAGATCCGCCGGGGTCTATTAATTGCTGCCAGTTGCTGAAGACTTGCCTTAAAATATATCCACCAATGTTTATGGAGATTCTCAGTCTTCCGGGTCATGGTTGTCCCAAAGGTGCTTTTTTCAAGAGGCAACTGGACTTTCTGGTTTTTCTTTGAAGACGTTTTGCTTCTCATCCAAGAAGCTTCTTCAGCTCTGACCTCTTTCAGCCTTGAAAGGGGTCAAAGAGGCCACCTATGTCAAAATTGAGCAGACCTCTCTCAACAGAGGGGGAGGGATAGGACATCATCTGTCTCCAGTCTACAACACAGTCCTTTCAACAGTTCCCAAAAGGCTCCACACCCATTTGCACTACTCGGGTGACCCCGAGGACACAAATAAACCTCCAGGTGGCCTCAACAACTCTCTCAAAGAATGCAAATGTCTTTGTGTCTGTCTGCAAGGAATATAAATCTTTCCATTCCCCACCAACCAGTCAGAGCTGAAGAAGCTTCTTGGATGAGAAGCGAAACGTCTTCAAAGACAAACCAGAAAGTCCAGTTGCCTCTTGAAAAGGCACCTTTGGGATATATCCACCAATAGGACTTTTCCCCCCAAACTTGTTCCTCAAAAGTGCTTTTGCTAGTGGTGGAAGAGGAGGAGAAAGAGGAGCTATCTTTTCTTTTTTTAATTAATATGCTACTGTTTGACATAGGCAGCATATTTTACAAGTGAAATCTAACCTTTTCAGGATTCCAGATTCTGAACATGTGCTAAGTATCATGGATGAAACTGGATGAAACAAGGTGGTGCTTATCTCCTGTATGCTAGGTGAGTTGCTAAAAGATTCTGACCGCCGGCAAATGAAGTGTGAGGACCGGGAGGCAACCCTGATGATATCCTGTGCTTACAAGGAGGATGAAGGCCTTTATAGCATCCGCATCCCAACACAAGACGGCTACAATGAACAAAAAGCTTATGTGTTTGTTAGGGGTATGTTCATCATTATTGATCTGATAATTTAATGGTGAATTTTATTTCAAAAGTCTAAGAAGTTTCCACCAACCTTTTCCAACTAATTGACTCCAATTGAGCTAGATTGTTATTCTTACAACTCTTACTCACCGTGAAAGGTGCCCTTAGTCTCTTCACAGGTTCTCATGGATCCCCCAAATCCTGCGAAGCACAGTTTCAAACACCCTACATTTGAGCAGTTTCCCTCAGCCTGATGATATTTAGATGTATCTGACTGTAGTCTCCATACTATATATGGGGACTATGGATCTTTACTTACAATCCTAATTGTAAGTTGAGGATTATCTGTATGGAGAATATCACAATGATACTAGCAAAGATTGATGACCAAGACTTCTAGGGAGCATCTAAAAGGAGAAGGATGGCTGGTTGAAGGGCAAGAGAAAGAAAAAAACAGACTAGGAGTTAACTTTATACCTCTAATTTCCTTCATAAACTCATGCCACCATATATACAGTAGATGGCCCTTTCTCAAGGTTGTGAAAGTGACTTTCCCAAAGTTACTCAAATGAACCTTGTCTCTGTTGTCTAGCAAGCATCTTAAGTACTGTATATAGGATAGTGAGCACTTCCCATCACCAACAATTATTTCGGGGTAGGTAGATAAAATTGTGAGATGTCCTTTATCTTGATTCAACAATCTCACCATAGCTTCCTGTCTTTTTCAGATGCTGCAGCTGCAACAGCTGGTGCCCCCGGATCTCCTCTCCTTGTACAATGTCATGATGTGAACAAAAACAGCCTCATACTTTCATGGGCACCTCCCAGTGATAATGGTGGAAGCCCCATCATTGGTTATTACATTGAAAGGTTCACACTCTATAGTAGCCCAGTCTTCCTCCCTCCCTCCCTTCTATTCATTCATTCATTCATTCATTCATTCATTCATTCATAATCAATTGTACAAAAGTGTTATTTTTGCCTTCCAGGTGTGAAATGGGCACAGATGAATGGGTTCCTTACAATGACCAGCTGGTGAAAACTTGCAGGTCACCAGTTTTGGGTCTCACAGAAGGAAAGAGTTACCAGTTCCGAGTGAAGGCCGTCAATTGTGCAGGAATCAGTAATCCTTCAAAGGCCAGCAGCCCTGTGACAATGATTGATCCCAATGAGGCCAAGAGGTTGCTAAGTACGTCATTCCTGGTTTAGACCATGAGGAGGTTCACAAGAATTGAAGGAAGTCTTTAAGACAATGCAGACCACCAATGACTTCAAGTAAAAGAGTTGTGGTACAAAGAAGGAGCAAAAAAGTTTTTACTAAATTGATCAAGGGATTACTTTGTCCTAGGACAGTTCAAATATTCCCTTTGGTGGAATTAATCAAACTGAAGCAATCCAATGGTCTATACTCTATTCAGTTTGACAATTCAACTGAACTATAATTTATATATCTATAAATTATAATGTATGACTTCCAACTCATTAATTTTCTTTTTCTTTGATTAGACATTCCTTATGATGATGGGATGAGGACAATTATAGTTTCGAAAGATGAACTGGAACGTAAGTTCATAGGCAACTTCATTCCTTAAGTACTCCTCCAATAAGTACTCTATTCCAAAGGAGTTTTCCTGTTACATTGAACTGCTTATACATTTTGAGTAGTAGCAAGTCTAGAATTTGTCCTTTCCACTACAAATGGAAGTTCTTGTAACAAAAGAGTTACTCGGGAAGTTGCCTTAAGTCAGACCAGAACCTAATCTTTCCAGTTGAGTATCTTCTACCCAACTGCCAGTGATTCTCCAGGGTCTAAAAAGTATGTTATCTTGGAGATGCCAAGAACTAAGCAAAGTGTTTCTGTGTAAAAAAATTAGATATTCAGCTCTATTGTTCCTTTATAGACACATCCCTTGATTCTATCGTAGCAGTCATGCTCTCCAGATATGTTGGACTTGGCTGAGAAAGTATGGGAAGTGAAGTCCAACTTTACTAGAGAATACCATATTACCAACCTAGCTATTATTTCTTTATTGCAAATCTGGTATCACTACAGTGTGTGATGGCTATTTTAACTCTCCTTTCCTATAGCTGAGATTAAGATCCCATTGCCTCCCACCAATGTTCATGCCAGTGAGACCAGAGAAGATTATGTGATCCTCTCTTGGGATGAGCCAGACCCCAGAGGCAAAGAGCCACTGAATTACTACATAGAAAGGGTAAGGAGACGGCACAGTTGCAAGATTCAGTAGATCAGTAATCTAAAACTACCTTTAAATTAGCCTGAATTTCATTCAGGCTCTTCCAAACCAAATTCTTCCTCAAACAAATTTGAGGACTAAGACTAACTGTCCACCAATCCTGATGACCTTCACCAGAATTGAGATAAGGGCAATATCATGGGGATATGGCAGAAAAAAGAGGTTGCAGGATGGAAAAATAATAACATGCACATTGCTAGTTTTTACATTTCATGGTAGACCACCAAATGGAGAAGAGCCATAGTCAGTAGGCAACATTCTAATTTCTACATCACAAGTTATGCAACTTTCCATAATTTCTTCTAAGAATTTGAGCCTTAAGTCAATTCTTGTGGGTTTCCAGATTTCCACATTGGGTCACTGGACATGAAAATTCAGGGTTGGCCATTTTTTTCCCCTGGCAGAAAACCTGTTGCCTCAGGCTGATAGAAACCCATTTTATGACAAATAATGGTGGGCTTCCTTTTGTCTTTTCAGTCAATCGCAGGGAGTAACAAATGGCAGATGGTTAATCTGGATATTCCCGTCGGTTCCACCACTTTCCCTGTCTTTGGTCTGGAGAAGGCAAAATCCTATTGTTTCCGAGTACGGTCGGTGAATAAATATGGAGTGAGTGATCCTTCTTTGCCCAGTGAACCCATCTCTCTGGGAAAAAAGATTGGTAATCTCTCATTCTTTTTTCTTTTAATTGTCACTAAATAACATCTAGTAAATCCTGCTGTTGGCTGAAGAATTCTGAGAATTGACATCCACGTCTTAAAGTTGCTGACGTAGAGAAACACTAGTTTAACTGATAGAGATTGGAGAAGAGTTGAAAGGAAGCATAATGGTCTTCAAGTAGTTGCTGCATTTAAGCTTCCATTCCCCCTCCCCCTTTTTTTTGTTTTTTTAGCTCCACTTCCACCCCCATCTCAGGTCCTGGCTTTCAGAGATACCAAGACATCTGTGGTTGTGCAATGGAGCAAGCCAAGAAAAGGAGAGGAACCACTGGGTTATTACATCTATTGCCAGGAGGTTGGGACAGATGAATGGCAAACGGTCAACAACAAACCTGTCACTTGTCATGAGTGAGTTCATTTGGTTATCCTTTCCATCTCTGTAGCTTTTAGGCATTTCTGAGAGGGGAGTGGGAAAATGGCACCCTGTTTTTGTGGTTTCAAAACAAGGAAAGGAAGGATGTTGTTATGTTGTTAATATGGATTCAGTTTCAGTTTCATTGAGCTAATTCAGATGTTCTCCCTTTTCAAGTCTCTAATTTCATTCAGCAACAAAGGAACTGGTTGTAATGGGCAAAATGATACTCATGGAATCTTCTTAGTTTAATGGGTTTGTCTTAGAAGCAGCTCATCTAATCAAACCAAGATCTAAAAAAGAATGGTGTTTCAAACAACAATTAAAGTATGTTTGTCTTGGAGATAGCAGCACAGAGATATCAGCACTTTAAAATGAATTAGTTAGAGATGATTTATCCAAGCAACTAGAAAGGTCAATCATAACCTGATAAAGTTTTATTTGGAAGGACAATTTGCAAAATCAGTGTCATTGTTGCAAGTATCCTGCTTACAACTGTCTACCATCTCGCATCTGGCAGACCTCATGGTTGCATTCACACAATGTGCTAAATTTGGTTATTTGCTTGTTGGCTTAGCAAGGTGCGTGAAACTAAACTGTATTGGTTTTTTATGATATATATACCCAGGGATGGGATTCAAATTTTTTAACAACCGGTTCTGTGGGCATGGCTTAGTTGGTGGGCGTGGCTTGGTAGTCATTTTATTGGCTGGGCATGGCCAACTCAATATCACTCACATCGAGGCATGCATCTCCTCGCCTGGCCTCTCATGACTGTGGGGATGCTGCAACAGTTGTAAGTGTGAAAAATGGTCATAAGTCCCTTTTTTCAGTGCCATTGTAACCTTGAATCACTCCACACAAGCAAAGTACCAGCAAAGGAGGGGAAAAAACTCCAAAGAAGTTCCTGAGACAGGAAGTCTAGTCCTGCCAAGAATGTAATAAGGGTTAACGGAGAGGCCGTTTCTGTAAGCAACACCAGAATGTTTCCTTCCTGCCTTCCTTACAGGATTAGGCCAGTAATTTCTTCTAACAACTGGTTCTCCGAACTGCTTAGAATGTTAACAACCGGTTCTAGTGAATACGTGCGAACTGGTAGAATCCCATCCCTGTATATACCCATAAAGTAGGCTAATTCAATAACCAAAGTCACTGTGCTGTGTGAAAATAACCAATATCTTCCAAGATGATTGAAAGCTTCCACTGCTTTATACTTAGAATCTCTAGTGCAGTATTTATCAATCTTGGCAACTTTAAGGTGGGTGGATTTCAACTCCCAGAATTCGCCAGACTCCCAATTCTGGGATTTGAAGTCCACACATTTTAACGTTGTCAAGATTGGGAAACACTGCTCCAGTATGACAAACCAGTGCTAAGAAGTAACATTGAAGAATGGATGGGTGGCTTTCTGTTTTGTTTCTTAGATTTACTGTTCCAGGACTCAAAACTGGCAAACAATATGTCTTCTGTGTCAAATGTGTCAATGAAGCTGGCGTAGGAGAAAGCTCTCCAGAATCTGATCCCATTCTTGTGAGACAGGCAATCTGTAAGTACCTATTGTGGTATGGTGCGGTCTCTCTACTTACATCTGATCCAGAACACCCTCCTTCACCCTGGTGCTGCCAAATCATAACTTTCACCATAGCCAGCCTCCATGGCTGGCTGTGATGAGAACTGTTATCCAATACATCTAGAGAAGATCAAGTTTGGGGAGGATGAATTGTGTAGTGTCACTATGTGCTACCATGAAATCTGGGAGGAAGGCAAGAACAGGTAAGAGGAGGAGGAGGAAAGGAGAGTGGAGGGGTGAGAAGAGGAGAGAGAAGAGGAGAAGAGAGGAGACGAGACGAGATGAGATGAGACGATCTTTTGGGATGTGACTAAGATTTTCTGTTTTTCTTCAGCTTTGGAAATGATGGGGAAAATCTTTGTTTTGACATTTCCAGCCTAAAAATAGCAGAAGGTCATTGCCATTTTTCAACAATTATGGGCAAAAATGGAACTACCGAGGCTACATTTGCCCCAGGATTTTAAGTGGAGAAGCAGCACGCTTAATGAGATGCTCAACTTCCATGATATTTTCATGTTTTTCCTCCCTTGCAGCTCTTCCATCCGCTCCACGAGATTTTGCTCTGCTGAACTGTGGGAAGGACACCATGACCATAGGCTGGAAGCCTCCAAAACACAAAGGTGGTTCAAAGATTCTGGGCTATTTCTTGGATCAGCAGGATACAACACAGGCTGACTGGCATGAGACCAACATTAAGCCCATTGCTGAACGGGTTTATACGGTATGGTGTCAGTGCCATATTTGGACTTGGACAAGGATCTCAACCTCTGTCCCTCTCTGATTGCAGCCATTTTTTAATTAGGGCTGAATCTTTTTCTTTTGCCAAAAAAGCAAAAACAAAATTAAAATGGGTGCTTGATTGTCAGACATTGTGGACAACAAAACTGGAGGAATTAGAAAAGTGCTCTAAAAATACACTAGAAGTTTTTCCATATTCACTAAGCTAGCTTTCCACATCTTGATGCACTTCAGATAATTCATATTCAGCTTCCTGAGTTCCTTCTTTCACTCCAAGAATTCTTTATCTTGTGTTGGCTGGGAATTTTGAGAGTTGAATTTTACATAACTAGGGGTGGGCATCCTGTTGGAAAGGCTGGTTTCAGTTTTTAGTGGGAATACAAAGACATGTCTCTGTAAATGCTATACCTTCTGTTCAAGGCAAGGCTTTGGGAAATGCTCAATATCTCTGGTGATTCTATAGGTCACCAACCTGGACGAAGGACAATTTTATCAATTCCGTGGTTACGCCATGAATATAGTTGGTGTCGGGAAGGTGTCAGAGCCCAGTGATATTTTCAAATGTGAGGAATGGACAATGCCAGAACCAGGTAAAGATCTAATCTTGGATTAAGATTAATATCCAAGCCACATATATTAATAATATGGGATGTTTGGGCATATTAAGCTATAGCTTTGGTCACCTGTAGCCTCCAAAACTGAAGGAGTTGAACTCAATAATAAGGAACCTTCCAATATTATATATCTATGTTTCTTTTTGTGAAACACCAAACCTCTTCTAATGTGGACATGGGTGTACATAGAGATGACCTGGGGAAGGAATGTATCTTCCAGAATAAAACATGATTTTAAGCAAGGAAGAGAAAAGAACATTAGAAAGAAATATTTACACCTTTGACTGTCTTTGGGAGGAAGAAAACATTGTGTCAGGCTTTCAAGATTTGATTATAGATTATATCAATAAAGTAGAGATCCAGTATTTCTTGTGGAATCAGTTCACTGACTTGATCAATGCTGGCTGGAGTATTCTGGTATTCTGAGAGTTGAGGTCCATACATCTTAAAATGGCTAAGGTTGGGAATCACAGGTCCAAAGGATCTTTGCAGTATTCCAGAGTGCAAGCCTTGAAATCCACTCTTCTTTCCAAAACAGGACCTCCTTATGATGTCAGATGTACAGAAGTAAGAGATACCTCTCTGATGCTGCACTGGGAGCCACCTCTGTATACTGGAGTGGGACCAATCCATGGTTATTACGTGGAGGGCCGCGAGGATGGATCAGACACCTGGGAGCAACTGAATAAACAGCCGATATCAAAGACACACATGAAGGTTTGGGTTGCATTTGACATTCATGTTCCATTTGTGATAAAGTCTACAAAAATTTCATGGCAGCAATGTCTAAACCCTTGGTCAGCCATAATATGTGGCTGGGAATTAAGTTCTATGATGGGCCACCAAGTAAATTGCCACACGCTAAATAAACAAATGAGTACATCGGTTTTTTTTCTTCCATTCAAGTTGTATCTGATTAATTGGAGATTGTCTGGACAAGTTTTCTTGGCAAGTTTTTCAGAAAGGGTTTGTCATTGCCTCCATCGTAGGACTGAGAAAAAGTGACTGTCCTAAAATCACCTAGCTAGTTTTACACCTGAACCAGGGCTAGAACTCACAGTCTCTTGGTTTCTAGCTTAATGCCTTTACCACCACACCAAAGTATCTCTCATCACATATATTAACTGAACAGGATAACAGATAACAGAGTCGGAAGGGACTTCAAAGGTCTTCTAGTAGTCCAACCCCTGCTCAAGCAGGAACCTCTATACCATTTCAGACAAATGGTTGCCCAATCTCTTTTTAAAAAACCTCCAGTGTTGGAGGACCCAGAACTTGTGGAGGCAAGTCGTTCCACTGATTGATTGTTCTTGCTGACAGGAAATTCCTCCTTAGTTCTAGGTTGGTTCTCTTCTCTATTAGTTTCCATCCATTGCTTCTTGTCCTGCCCTCAGGTGCTTTGGAGATACATTAGTCTATCTGAAAACGCATTTCCACAGGTACTGGTTTAACTGGAATAAATTTGGAACCATTTTTGATAGATGCTGTCAGTCAGTGCTGTTTAAGATGTTTAGTTATTATTTATCAAATTTATGTCGCTGTCCATCTCACAAGAAGTGACTATGGGCAGCATACAGCAAAAAGAAAAAAGAAATACAATAATGAATATGTCACACACACACACACACACACATATTTTAAAAGTTTTTGTTTGGTTTTTTTAAAAAAAGCACACAAAAGAGATTTGATCAGCAACATAACTACCCTAAGATCTCACCATTCCTTTGAGGTCCCCAGGCCTGATGACAAAGTCAGATCTTGAGGGACTTCTGGAAAATAAGGAGGGATGAAGCTTATAATTCTAGGCTGATTCATAAACTTTCAGCATCAGTTCTAGCCTTTGAGATTAAAAAAGAAGACTTACTGGATTAGTCTAAAATTCTGCAAATCCTACTAGCCTCCCTTCATCTATGGACAGGTAGGAGCCCCTAAGTCAGAGGCCAGCAATTAATTTTCCCAAGTGGCCACATGAGAAACTGGGATTGTTGTACAGGGCTGAACCAATAGGACTGTGAAGGTACATAGTCGTATACCCACACATATATGTCAACTAAATGTATAGCAGTCACCTTCAAAATAAAAGCAGTCCACATGGGCTGGACAGGAAGAGCAAAGGGTCAGATCTGGACTAGAGGCCATAAAATGCTCAGTCTGTCCTAAGTTAAATCTATTCATATTATTTTTAAACAGAAAGATTCATAATGGTTAATAGACAGTGGTCATTTGACCACTTATGGAAGGAGAGTAACCAGGACTTACGAGCACAGAGATTTGTATTTGTGTTTTTAGTACAGTATATATTTTCCCAGCTTGAGACTCCAGATATTGTCAAGCTTATGGCAGTTAATTCAACAAAAGCAAGTTTATCTCTCAGAGTCTTTCTCCACAAGGTTTATCAAGACAGAAAAAAATGAGATTACAACATTTCAGCAAGTGGATTACTTTCACATTCTAGCCAATTTATTTTTCAATCCTTCAGGGCAGAAACCTATATTTTGTAAGAGCTCCTGTTTGAATGGGAAGGAGGTGGTTGTTTCATAGATAATTGAAGAATTTGCACTTAGTAGTTTTCCAAAACTTCTCCTGAAAGTTTGTCAGATTACAAATAATCTGTTAGAAATATATTGGTATTGTCTGCAATTTCGAAACTCTCCAGCCTACATGGCTAATGAACATATGGATTGGCAATTCTGGAACAGGAGAAAGAAATTATCTTTATAATCCATTCAAAGAATGTAAATTGCTGGGAGAATTAGGTCAATAATAAATATAAATTCTATTTTATTTATTTATCATATTTAGAAACTACCCATCTCTCTCATAGAGGAACTCATAGAGGGTGGTGTGCAAATAAAATATTAAAAGCATAAAAGCAGTATGTAAAATTATAAAACAAATAATATTGATCAGTATTCAGAGGGTATCAAATTAGGGAAGGCTGAACTAGTTGATTTATTGCTATCACTTTTGGATGTCTCCTTCCCTATTTAGTTCTCAAATGTATATGGCCATCCATCACATGGACTCTAGGAGGCATACAACAATCTCTTGTTAACCCTATTTCTTCTCTATATTATATTCCCCATCAGCTGAGTGACCTGGAAACTGGGAAATGTTATATTTTCCGAGTGCGAGCTGAGAACAAGGCAGGTGTTGGCCCACCATCACTGCCATCAGATCCTGTGATAGTGAAAACTAAACCAGGTATAAAACTTTTACTTTTCTTCTATCTGTCTATCTATCCATCCATCCTCCATCCATCCATGTATTTATGTATGTATGTATGTATGTATGTATGTATGTATGTATGTATGTATGTGTCTATCTATCTATCTATCTATCTATCTATCTATCTATCTATCTATCATCTATCCATGCATTCATCCTCCATCCATGTATCTATGTATCCATGCATCTATGCATCTATATCTGTCTATCACTATCTATCATCTATCTATCATAATTATCATAACAACTAATTCCCACAACACTGTCAAACTATTTACTAAGACTGTATTACTATTATTCTTCTTATCCTTCCTATTGCCTATCTCTTCCCACTTATGACTATAACCTGTTGCTTATATCTTTATAATTTATATTGTTTTATTTAGTTTCCTAGTATGACTTGATTGCTTATTTAGTATCCTATAACTATCACTAGTATCTTATGATTCTTGATGAATGTATTTTTAATGCACACTGAGAACATATGCACCGAAGACAAATTCCTTGTGTGTCCAATCACACTGGCCAATAAAGAATTCTATTCTATTCTATTCTATTCTATTCTATTCTATTCTATTCTATTCTATTCTATTCTATTCTATTCTATTCTATTCTATTCTATTTTTTCCTCTCAACATTGCTGTTCTTTCTGTTTTTCTCCTGTCTTCCTCTCTTTCTCTGCTAACCTTTCTCATCAAAAGCCACCATCTTTTGGGTATTGACGCTATTTCTTGCCTGAGGAGGAGATAAATGATGATGACGTTCTTAATTTAGTTCCTCTGTTGAGTTTTTTTTTCTCTTTCTTTCTCTCTTTTGCAGACACCAAAGAAATTGAAGTTGGGGTAGATGAGGAAGGGTTCATTTACTTGGCATTTGAGGCTCCTGAGATGGTTGACACTTCAGAGTTTATTTGGTCCAAAGATTATGAAGGACCTCCAAATCCTGACCGAGTTGAAATTGTAGACAAAGATGACAAGTAAGTTCTAATGAGAACTTGGAGGAAAACTAGGGTTGCACCTAACCACAGTATTAGTTTCTGTGCCCTCAGGAGTAGCTTGTAGAACTTGTAGAGAATTTTTTCCACACCAGTGACCCTCAAGTTGAGCTTTATCTCCTGGTGATCTCCTGAGTTCATGTCATTTTATTGACAGCAGGATGAAAGTATTTGTTATTGTCCTCTTATGGGATTTTTTTTCAATTTTCTGTAGCAGGCTGCCAAATTCATAGGAAGCGATCTTTGAAACAAAAATAAAAAATAAAAAGTTGCCCCCTAATGAAGCAGATTCCTTCAACAGGGGGCTGGATCATTTCATACTTGCCTTTTGATTCATCCCACACTGTCTAGAACTTGCAGGATTGTCTATGGTCTCTGCCACTCAGATGCATCTGTTTCCCCATCTCATTTCAAAGTTGATCTATAGTCCCATTTGTGTGACCAATTTTGAGATCCTTGATGCACTTCTGAGCCTGTAATCTTTGCATTTTATGCATAGAGGTCCCATTCAAATCTTCTCTCATGTGCAAAAATCAGACTCTGCCAGATTTATTATCCTGAGTTTACTGTAATTTATTTTATTTGTGTTGTACTTTTGCACAATTTATTCTGTTATACATTCAAGGGGCACGTTTACTGTAGGGCTCCACCTGATTATTAATCTGGGTACCTTGCACAATTACAGGATACAAACATATATGATGTTTAGATTGCACGCTTGCATTTTCTTTTCTTTCAGGTCCAAGGTCATTCTGAAATATGCTACTGAACGGGACCTGGGAACATATTCAGTAGAAGTAACTGATACCGATGAAGACATTTCTGCCAGCCATGTTTTAACTCCGGAAGGTAAATTACAGAAAAATTGTTTTAGTTGTTACACAGATTGTTGGGGCAATATGTTGACTCTGTAAACCACTTATAGAGGGCTGTAAAGCACTATGAAGTGGTATATAAGTCTAAGGGCTATTATAGCTCTTGCTATTTGGGGTTAATTTCCCCCTTTCTGTTGCAGATAAGTTAGCTAGAAAGTTTTGTATACCTTATCAGTTAGAGACAGAACGGCTAAGGCTGTAATATTTTAGAAAGAATCCCTACTTTATATGCATAATTTTGTATTTATTTATTCTGTCATGGTTATGTAATGTATATTGGAGGTGGTGATCCTTTGAGAACTGTGTGCAACGAAATTTCATTTTAATCTTTGCCAATTAGTGAACATTCAAAGTTACAACAAAGTTATTATCCTATCCTATCCTATTCTATTCTATTTCTGGGAGGGGCAGGTATTCTGCATGTAAATATTCTTTCGTTTGTCGCCTATTGCTTCCTAATTATCATGTGGTTCTGTTTTCCAAAAGCTTATAAAAGCTATACTAATTTATGTATTGAGGCCTCTTGATATGTAATTTAGTGCCAAGAGCACATCTCTTTGCACTGCACAGAATAAACAATTTCCTACCTCATGCAAGAAATTGGCTGCTTCACACATTGGATGAACAAATTCAGCATTCGGCATGGCCAATTTATGGTTTGACGAATGAAATTATTGTTTTAAAAGGCAATGTGATTCTATGGGTTTCAGGCTTATTTTATAGCCTACTGTGAGCTCATGATAGCTATAACAACCATCAACCTTTTCCTCAATCTAGTATTTATGTAACTACAGCAATGGTTCTCCACCTTGGCAACTTTAAGATATGTGGACTTTAACTCTCATGGAATTCAATTCTGGGAGTTGAAGTCCACGTATCTTAAAATTTTCAAGGTTGAGAAACACGGGCTGTGAAACAAAAAGGAAAAACTAGTTTGGGGCATCATGAATACTAAAACACAATCTTGATTCTGTCTCTCAAGTGTGTTCTTGCTCTTTCTCATTTCTTAGAACTGGACCGCCTACGAATGATCAGCCAAGAGATTCGAAATCCCTGTAAGTTGCCAATGGTTAATAATAAATAATAATTATTACCACAGCGACACAATACAAAATCACTGTATTGTTGTTATAAGCCAGCCTTTCGAACCCTTCCAGATCTTTTGAGATATCAAATGTCTTCTGCAGAGGGTAGGCCACTAGTTTATTGACATCAGACTATGGAAAGTCTGCAACAGATGTTAAATGCGAGGACCAGACGGAAGTCACTTTTTCAGTGCCGTTGTAACTTTGAACGGTCACTAAATGAATGGTAGTGAGTCAAGAACTACCTGTAATTCATCAGATGTCATTAGTCCCTGGGAACTTCATTGGTTAAACTTCACTGCTCAGTTTGGCATTCCCATAATGTCCATTTTCCATTCCTTTTAGTGATTGAGCTGATATCTGGATGGAACATTGACGTTCTGGAGAAAGGGGAAGTACGGCTTTGGCTAGAAGTTGAGAAACTCTCTCCAGAGGCTGAGCTTCATTTGATCTTCAATGGGAAAGAGCTCTCAAGCACCCCGGTGAGTTCCCCTCACTCAGTTTAGTGCAAACGTCAGGACTGTGTGATGAAAACAAGGCAGCATCTTCTCTGTAGATTCTCCCACCGTCTACACACAAACTGTAATGGAATGTGAGAATGGCCTTGGAAGTTGGAGTGAAGAGATGCTGCCTTGGCTGACAGTGTCTTCTTTCTCTTTACTCATGACTAACTACTATTTGGTTTTTTACATCAGACGCATAAGATCAACTTTGACAGAGCTAAAGGCCTTGTGGAACTGATCATCCAGGACTTCTGTGAGGATGACAAGGGCTCCTACACTGCCCATGTGAAAGATGGCAAAGCGGAAAATCAATTTACTTTGGCTCTCACTGGGGATGGTATGTAGAAGGCAAAATTTACATCTTCATTAGTTCCTTGGCAGTGTCACTTTTCATGGTTTATACTTGTTGTCATCTTACCTATCATGTTCTTCCTTAACAATTATAACTAATTAACTAGATGAGGACACCATCTTGAAAATATCAGACATTCAATATATAAAGACTATTCTCAACACTTTGATTATGGAATTTCTTCTGTGTCCAGTTAAGATTATTTTTCAGAATTATCTAAAGATCTAAAGAGCCATGGTGGCGCAGTGGTTAGAATGCAGTATTGCAGATTAATTCTGCCGACTGCCAGCAGTTTGATTCCCATTGGCTCAAGGTTGACTCCGCCTTCCATCCTTCCAAGGTTGGTAAAATGAGGACCTGGATTGTTGTAGGCAATATTCTGTAAACCTCTTAGAGAGAGCTGTTAAAAGCACTCTGAAGCAGTATATAAGTCTAAGTGCTACTGGTGTTGCTATCTTCCTGTTTGTCCTGATTTCTAATCTTGCACTGTGGTAACTCTTCAGTGCATTTCTGTGTTGTATTCCTGTATCAATTTTATCCTTCTGGGAGATTTTAAACTTTCATAATCTTGTATTAATTTTATTGATTCCTTTTTATTACAGTCTGATTTAGCATTACTCTTCATGCAAAGCAGGTAATGAAAAACAAAATGGTAATGATGACCATCTGGATGGAGATGCAGAGAAGAAGGAAAATTGTGTTATGTTTGTTGTTTGTTTGTTTGTTTGTTTTGAGGTGCAAAAATCTTCTTAAGGCCAGCCTTACCATTAGGCAACACTACTACTACTACTGCAAAAAATATTATTTGGGCCTATCTCCCAAAGGAGCAAATAGCTGGGTTTTTTTAGTTTCCTGGTAGTGTTACTAGGAAAGCCCATAATGTGATCTTGCAAGTATTTTCTGCCTCAGTTGACGTAATAACTGGGTGCTGTGAATCCTGGCTGACGTGAAAGTATTTTCTGTTCTCCCGTAGGCAATGAAGTATTTGGGGGTGATTCTAATTTTCGGTTCTGAAACTCTAAAGCAAGCTTTAGGGAAGCATGTTCAAGACAGTGCAGGCAGAGTCATCTGCTCCCCTGGAGCAACGGACATTCCTATGGCTCTGTATAATTGCAGACCAGGAAGTGACCATTCCTGTGTCTTTCCAACCCCTTCAAAGGAAGCTAAGAGGCTGTCACTTCCAGGAAATTATTTCCCTCATTTGAATAAGCTGTATCTGTAGCTAGAAGGTAAAATGTTCTTCAATTGTCTACCCACTCAACCATGTACAGTAATGGCTGATCCAATATTTCTTTCATTCTTTCTTTCTCTTCTCCTTCTCCTTCTCCTTCCCCTTCCATTTTTTCTTCTCCTTTCCTTCCACTTCCATTTCTTCTCCTTCCCCTTCTCCTTCCATTTCTTTTCTTTCTCCTTCCACTACTTCTTCCCTTTCTCCTTCCCCTTCCACTTCTTCTCCTCCCCTTTCCCTTTCCCCTTCCCCTTTGTCCTCTACTTCTGTTGCTCCTTCTCCTCTTCTTCCTTCCAGATTTTGATAAACTTAAAGCAGAGGCTGATGCCAAAAAGAAGGACTGGAAAAGAAAACAAGGTAAGGCATGCTGTCAGCCTAAAAGAGCCATACTCTTCCCCAAAGGATGTAAAATAGGGCAAGTCTTCCTTAGAAAGAAAGGCAAATGAGCCATTATTAAAATGAGACCTCCCAAAAAATAAGTAAGAAGGGAACTGGAGCTCTTTTAGGAAGTGTGACAAGAGTCTCAAAAATGAAACAGAAACATTTCAAAGCATTTTACATTTGTTGCCCCTGATTTGTGTTACCCCATCCTACTCAATCAATTCAGTCACTTATTCAGCTAAACCTCTTTAGCAGTTTTTCGGCAACACTTAGCCACCCTAAACTGGGTCAAAAGTTACCAGGAAAAAAAAATAGCATCACCATTTAAATTTGTTCTAAACCAGTTTTTCTAATTTGGTCCCAGGAGGTTAACCATGTTAGCTGTTTGCAATAGAAAAAAAAAAAAAAGAGTTACCTGGGCAATTTATTACAGGTCAAGATTAGAGGATTTTCAAACTCCAAGCCACCCAGAGTCCCTTTTCAGAACGAGATGGGTGGCATATAAATTTAATAAATAAATAAATCCTCCTCACTTGCCCAGTGCAATCCAATCAAAATACTCGGGATTCGTTTTTTTTAAAGGGCATGATATTTAATTGTGGCTGTGGAAAGTCCTCACGCAGAACAGCAGGCATGGCCTAAAAGGGAGACGGGAGAATCAGGGTGACTTTTTTTATTTCAAGCAAGATATTTCTCACAATTAGGAAATCATTACATGATACCCGGCGATGTGGGGATTACCCCTCTTTTGCTTATTATGAAATATGGGGAATTTTTCCATTCCTTTCTTAGACAAGCCCAATCAGGAAGCAAGGTAGTTTTGCAAGAACAAGGAAGACTGGTTTTTACCTGCTCAGCTGATGAAATGCCTAGCAGAACGGCTGTTTCTTTACCAGGTGGCAGGCTGATATGCCGTATGAGCATGGTGTTGGGAAAGCTAGTTTTAAAGTTTCAGGTAGTCCTCTACTTAAACCATTTGTTTAGTGACTGTTCAAAGCACTGAAAAAAAAGTGACATGACCATTTTTCACACGTACGACCTTTGCAGCATCTCCTTGGTCACGTGATCAAAATTCAGGCACTTGGCAACTGGCATGCATTTATGGTGGTTGCAGTGTCCTGAGGTGATGTGATTCCCCTTCTGTGACCTTCCAACAAGCCAAGTCAAAGGGGAAGCCAGATTCACTTAATAACAGTGTTCCTAACTGCAGTGATTCAATTAACAACAGTGCAGTGGTGGGATTCAATTTTTTATACTACCGGTTCTGTGGGCGTGGCTCGGTGGACGTGGCAGGGGAAGGATATACTGCAAAATCCCCCTTCCCTCCCCACCCCACTAACCTGCTTTCCAGCTCCGTTCTCCTGTGCAGGGCAACCAAAGAAGACCCAGCCGATCAGCTGGGACTCAATGGGAGGTGGAGAAGAGATGGGGGCGGGGCCAGTCAGAGGTGGTATTAGCTGGTTCTCCAAACTACTCAAAATTTCCAGTACTGGTTCTCCAGAACTGGTCAGAACTGACTGAATATCACCTCTGTGTCGGTAGCAACAAAGTTCCTAAAACAGGACAAAATTCACTTAACAATTGTCTAGCTTAGTAACAGAAATGTTGGCTTCAGTTCCGGTTGTAAGTCAAGGACTACCTGTCATTCAAGAAAATTTAGCCATTTCCACATTAGAATCTTATAGCATCTTCACTGCAACACCCAGGCATTGTTGAAGAGATATAAATCCTGTCCACATTATTGCGGTTTTGGCACAACAATAGTTGGTTGACTGTAGAAGATGCTATAAAGCAGGGGTCCAACCTTGGCAACTTTAAGACTTGTGGACTTCAACTCCCAGAATTCCTCAGCCAGCACAGCTGGCTGAGGAATTCTGGGAGTTGAAGTCCACAAGTCTTA